TGGTCTTGCCCTCAAGACCTGCTTTAGCCGCCGTGTCGCATATCCTGGTCATTTCCTGCGTGAGTGTGTGCCGTTCCCTTTCTTCTTCCTTCATCATGGTCCGTCATGCCGTCTGACCGTGTTTCCAAGAAAAGGGCCAAGGCCTCGTCGTCCATCCGTTGTGGTGTCCTGCTTTCCACGATCCTTTCGAATCCCGACATTCTTACGATGCCTTCTTGCTCGGCTTGCGAGCGTCGCGGACTCCGGGAATGCCAGGTGTCGTCTTCGGATTCTGATCGCTGTGTCGAATGCGTGCGCCTTCACCTTCCCCGCTGCGACGTCCAAGGGTATCGCCGGCACAGCTTCGAAATATTGCAATCAACACATCAAGCTCGAACGCGAGCTTGAGGAGGCCGAGGAAAAGGTTCTGCGCCTTCGAAAACAAAAGAAATTATGGTTTGAAAAGATGATGCGGGCGGTCTCCCGTGGGATCGATAACGTTGAGGAGCTGGAACGTGTCGAGAAAGAAGAGGCGGAGAAGGAGCGGCAACGAGTGGAGGAGGCGCGGCCGCCTTCCCTCACGACGATCGGTTACCCTCGACTTCGTCGAGGAGTGGGATTCCTTGTACTCCCAGGTGTCGTTGTCTCCTTCTGTCTTAGCCCAATTTGGGTTGCTCGGGATTCGTCGGCGCCGGAAAATCCCATTTCGTCAGGAGGTTGATCTTTGTTGATTGAATTGTCGGAGAAGCGAACCACAATGGGTCAGGTGCTTGGTGGGTTCCCATGTGTTTTCCTCAGGTCCGTATCCTTTCCATTTACAAGGTATTCCTGTTGCTGACCTTGTTTTCTTGTGTCCAGTATTTGTTCTGCTTCGTATTCTTGATCGTCGTCGACTTCGATTTTTTCCTGTGGTTTGGCGTTTCGTGGTGCTGGTTCCAATAATGAGATATGAAATATCGGGTATCCGCATTGTTGTTGGTAGCGAAAGTTCGTAGTTGACTTTTGAAATGGTTTTCTTGACTTTGAACGGTCCAAGTTTCTTGAAATCCAATTTGTTGCTTGGTCGTTTTGTTTTGATGTTTCGTCGTACGAGGTAGACCATGTCTCCCTCTTGAAAGATTGGTCCTGCAATCTTTTCCGATTGTAGTGAGTGGACATTCGTTCTCTGACGAATTGAAGTTCTTGTTGCATTTCTTTATGCAATTTTCGTAGCTGATCTGCTTGCAGTATCGCTCGTTCCGCTTGTGGTCCTTGTCGAGTGACCTTGAATGCTTCTGGGTTGTATCCGTAATTGGCGTATGCTGGTGAGAGCTTGGTTGTCTCTGTGACTGAGCTGTTGTAAGCTAGTTGTGCCGTCGGTAGCCATTTAACCCAATCGTTTTGTTCGTAGCTGATGTAGCATCGTAAATATTGTTCAAGCGTTTGGTTGAGTCGTTCTGTTTGTCCATCTGTTTGTGGGTGATAAGCTGTGCTGAGCTTATGTTTCGTTCCTAATTGTGCCATGAGAGCTTGCAAAACTTGGCCACAAATGTGCTTCCTCTGTCAGAGACAATCTCGTTCGGTAGTCCGTGATTGCTGACAATAGTTCGTAGGAACACATATGCTAGCTCTTCTGCGTTGCTTGCTTCTTTGTACGGTAAGAAGTATCCGTACTTCGTCAATCTGTCGGTAATGACGAATATGCTGTCGTACTTGACGTTGGTCATGGGTTCTTTTGACGGTGGTAGCTTTGTGATATGGTCGAAAGCTATCGAGTCCCATGGTTTCTTTGGTACTGGTAACGGTTGCAATTCTCCGTATGGCTTGTGTCGTTCAGCTTTGCTTCGTGCGCAAAGTTCGCATTTTCTGATAGTTTCGCTGATTCGTTTCTTCATCCGTGGAAAGTCGTAGATTCGTCGAATTCTTTCCATCGTCCTCCGGATTCCTTGGTGTCCGTGTGTCGGGTGTTCGTGAATTTCGCGTATAACTTCGTCCTGAAGTTCTTCTGGTACAAAGATCTTTCCTTGATGCTTTGCCAGGCCATCTTCCCAAACAACTGGAAGTGGTTCCCAATCAACCTTATCGTAGGCTTGTTGGATCTTCTTCGTAAGGCCTTCGTCTGGATTGACCTTGAAGATTGCGTTAAGCTGTCGTTGTTGCATATTCCCTTCATTGTTGAGCTCAAGGAGTTGTCCTTTCACAATAGGTGCTCCTGTGTCGTAGTCGGATCGTCGGCTGAGGCATCAGCTCGACCGTTTTCTGTTCCTTTTCTGTGGATTATTTCGTAGTCGAATTCTGATAGACATTCGGCCCATCGGATCTGTCGTCCGTTCAATTGTTGCGTCGTCGCGAAATGTGAGATGTTTTTGTGATCTGTGTAGACCTTGATTTTGTGTTTGCTTCCGAGAAGGTAGTGTCGAAATTCCTTAAAAGCTTGAATGATTGCGAGGAATTCTTTGTCGTAGATGGGGTAATTGAGTTCTGCGCCATGTAGCTTTTTCGAGTAGAATGCAATTGGTCGTAGTCTTCCTTCATCGTCCTTCTGTCCGATTTGTGCTCCTAGAGCAAAGTCTGATGCATCGGTTTCGAGTTCGATTTGTCGTTCTGGATCGAAGGTGGTTAAGACCGGTTCTTGCGTAATCGTCGTTTTGATGCATTCGAAAGCTTCGTTGGCTTTGTCGTCCCATGTAAACTCTTTTTCCTTCTTCGTTAAGTCGTGTAGTGGTGTTGCAATCTTTCCGAAATCTTTGATGAATCGTCGGTAGTAATTCGCAAATCCTAGAAACTTTGTACGTCCTTGACGTTCTTTGGCGTTGGCCATTCTTTGACTGAGTTGATCTTGTCTTGTTGCATTCGTATCTCTCCTGGTGAGATCGTGTGTCCGAGGAAATCTACTTCCTGTGTGTGGAACTTGCTTTTTTCTGGTTCAACCAGTAACTTCGCATTCTGAAGTGCGCGGAGTACCTTGTGGACGTGTTCCTTGTGTTCTTCTAGGGTGTCCGAGAAGATTAGGATATCATCCAGGTATACTACCACAAAGATGTCCAAGTGTTCGCGTAGGACATTGTTGATCATCCGTTGAAGGTAGCTGGTGCATTTGTGAGTCCAAATGGCATTACCAGATATTCGAATAGTCCGAATTTCGTTCTGAAAGCTGTCATCCATTCGTGTCCCTTCTTCATGCGTATTAAGTTGTAGGCGCCTTTGAGATCGAGGGCTGTAAACCATTTTTTGCCGTGCAGTCGATCTCGTAGTTCCGATATAAGCGGTAATGGTGTTCGGTCCTTCATTGTAATATCGTTTAGGCGTCTGTAGTCGACAACTAGTCGTAGCTTGCCGTTTTTCTTTGGAACAAACATGACTGGGTAGCCTGCTTCGGATGTTGATGTTCGTATGTATCCCTTTCGTAGATTCTCGTCGAGGTAGTCGCGTAGCGTTTGCAGTTGCTTTTCGTTTAGGTTGTAAATCTTATGGAACGTCGGCGTTCTTCCATCTTTGAGACAAATTTCGTGGTCCCATTGACTGTGTTCGGTAACCCTGTCTCGAGTTCTTCCTTGAAGAGTTTGTCGTATTTCCGGTATTCCTGTGGGATGTTCTTCATTCTGTCTTGTGGGCTTTGTTCTTTCTTTTGAGAGCTGGTTTCCTTGACTCGAGCTCTTTGTTGATTTGTTCGAGGTCTTTCCTTAGAGTGGCAATAACTCTTCGGATCTTCTTGTTGTGTCCTTTGTTCTGTTTATGTCGGATGCCAGGTTGTACAGCCGTGTTGGTCAGTACGTGGGTCTTGTCAGTCGATTTTGCTGTGTCCGCCGGTTCGGTTGCTGTTTTCGTTTGTATCGCTGAAGCCCGTAATGATTTGCTTGAACGGTCATCCCTTTCGTCCTGTTCAGTGGCTAAATCATCGCAAAATTTTGCTTTCTCCCAAATCTGCTGGTCTTGGAAACTTGCGTCGTCGTTCCAACGCAGCTGGCCAGTTTTCCAGTTGATCAGTGGGTTGCTCTCCTGTAACCATGGAAGCCCTAACACAAGGTCGTGTTCTCCAATGTCCATGATGTCGAAGTCGACTCGTTCGTCGTGGCCCTGGATATTGATGTCGAGGTGATCAATCTCCATATCAATGATTCCGTTGTTATAGTTGAAGGCCTCTCCTTCGATATTCGTGAGTTCATATGGATCTTTCTTGTGTCTCCATGGGAGTCGGTAACGATTGATGACTCTAGGTGTTACGATCAAGGCCGATATGGATAACCAGAAGGGACTTGGAAGAATAGTTAATTATCGACTTCTTAAGGAAGAAGGGAAGAGGAAGAGGAACTGAAGAAAAGGAGGAAGCGGTCTATATACGTAACGGTATGTGGAGTGGATACCGTAAGGTATGTGGAGGTGGATACCGTAACATCACCCCCTTCCTCCGGGGAAGAAAGAAAAGGCCCTAAGCGACTTGAAAGCGCACCCACTGAAGCCCATGATATACGACAAAGCCACCACTTTTGGTGTTTTTGTCTTGCGGCGCTTACTCGTAGACCCTGTACGAGAGCCTTCGTCTTCACCCACGTCGTCGCCCTCTCCGTATGTTGCCACGAACCTCTTGAAGGCGTCCGTAAGCTTGATGTTGTCACGTGGTTCCCACGTGGGTTCGATATATCCGTCCCATTTGACGAGAAGTTCTCGGCCCTTGGGTGGCATTCTGCCCGCAAACCTTCTCCACGGAATACACTGGAACGGTACCGTCTAGTAGCGGTGGTGGTTGTGTGTCGTCTTGTACTTGTGATGGAAGAGGGTCGTTAGGGTCTTTGCGAAGGAGGTCAGCAAAGAAGCGCGGGTGTATGTTGGAAGGGACATCGAGTTCGTAGACGTCAGGGGCGATGACTCTGGTGACCTTGTACTGGGCTTGTGTCCACGAGAGTTTCTTTTTGAGTTGGGGGGTGGTAACGTTCTTCAAATTCAGCCAGACACGCTCCCCGACAACGAACTTTTGACTTGGCCGCCGCCCTTTATTCGCCTGGTGTTCCATGATTTGTTGTGCCGTCGCTTTCGCTGCTTGGCTAATTCTTGACCTCTCGGAGGCGGGCAATGAAGTGGTCGGCACGGGCCTTGGGGTCGGTTTTGGAGCGAGATGAGATTTGGTTTTGTTGGATAGGCTCGGCGTGGTACCCGTGAGTGAGGAAAAGGGGCTGTAACCCGTGACAGAGGAATCGCGGTTGTTGATCGCGAGCATGGCCATTGGCAGAAGACCTGCCCAGTCGGTCTGGGCGTAGGCGACGAAGATTCGTAGTAAACAAGGACCTCTTGATTCATCCGTTCGGTAGCGCCATCGGTCTGAGGGTGGTATGCCGTGGATAGACGTTGCTCAATGCGCACGAGTTCACAAAGCCGTTGCCAGAATTTGCTAACCCAGTTGCTGCCTCTGTCAGATGTCATCGTCTTTGGAAAGCCGTGGAATCTGTAGTGGCACTGAACAAAGCGCTCGGCACAAGCCTCAGCTTCCATCGAATCCATAGCTTCCAGTGTACAAGAGCCGAGCAGCCGATCACAAATTACCATCAGAAATCGGGGGCCTTTGCCGTTAGCTGGCAGGTCAACCATGAAGTCGACAGACAATTCGCTGTGAAATCTGTCCGAATAGGCAAAGGTCGTAGGAGACCCTGTGGGCTGTGGCGCCACGACTTTGACCGTGAGCAAACATTGCAGTTCCGTACGAATTGGCGAACCATAAGGTATTGCTGGGGCCAAAAGTAGCTCCGTTGAAGAATGTTGAGCGTAACGTCGCGCCCAGGGTGACCCGTAATGTGAGAGTCGTGTGTCTGTTGTATCAGTGCCGTCCGAAGTGGTTCCCAATTGGGCACCCATAAAGCGCCGCGCCGGAGCAATGCTCCGCGGTCGTCGATTTCGCAGTCAGGTACCTGGACAGAAAGGTTGTATTCCGAAGGGAAGGTGGCGTTGCCTTGGACAACAGAGGCGTGTATGTTGCGGTACTCGCCGTCTTCGATCAGGCCGCGGTCCCAGAGCAACTGAAGCGCGGAGTCGAAGAAGAGTTTGGCGCCTCTGGGCGGGGCTTGAGAATCGTCGATGGGTGTGGTTTTTGAGCGGCGCGTCTGTACCGCGCTGACGAGTTGGTTAAGAATGTAGTCGCCTTGGTGATGCTTGACGGTGCGTGGAGGTAGCCAATGATCTTTAAGCAGCTGGAATTCGCGGTTTTTAAGGCGCTCGTCGTCGCCGTTAGCGGGCAGGTCTTGGGCGCGGCGAGAGAAGTCCGGCTGTGTATTGTCCTTCCCAGCGCGAAAAACGATCTTGAACGTGTACCGAGAGAGTGTTTCCGCTAGGCGGACCTGGCGTTCGGAGAGGCGGCGGTTGGTCGCGAAGTATTGCAGGTTCTTGTGGTCTGAGACGACTATGAATTTGTCAACGCTGCGTAACTCGCCTGAGAAGTGCTCCATTGCCGCGACGATGGCGAGAAGTTCTTTGTCGTGAATGTCGTAGTTCACCTCCGCAGCGGAGAATTTGCGTGAAAAATAGCCGACTGGTCGCAGTCTACCCTTTCGTCTCGCTGAGAGAGGACGGCGCCAACGGCCCATCCGGAGGCATCGCATTCGAGTACAGTCTCGCGGTCGGAGTGAAACATCGCGAGGACGGGTGAGGTGATGAGGAGTTCCTGAGCTTGTTGAAGGCGTTCTGCGCTGAAGCGTCCCAATTCCATTTGGTCAACTTCTTGGTAAGGTTATTGAGGGGTTCAGAGACAGCTGCGAAAGTCTCGATAAACTCCCGATAGAAATTAGCAAATCCAAGAAAAGAGCGGACACCTGTCACTGTTGTGGGCGCCTCCCAGTCACGAATAGCCTGAATTTTCTCCGGGTCGACCGTCACGCCCTCGCCGGCTTTGATGATGAATCCTAGGTATTTGACTTCTTTCACGGCGAAAGCGCACTTTTCGAGGTCGAGTTTAAGACCGGCATTGCGGAGGCGTTCCATCACTGTACGGACCTTGGTCATGTGGTCAAGGTAGTCGCCGTCGCTGTAGATGATGACGTCGTCCATGTAGGCTGAGCAGAATTCGTCGAGGAGGTCGTGGAGGTGCGAGTTGATATAGCGCTGGAAGGTCGCGGGCGCGCCTGTGAGACCAAACGGTGTTACCAGCCATTCGAATTGGCCATACCGTGTGCGAAAGGCGGTTTTCCATTCGTCGCCGTGTCGGACTCGAAGTCTGTGAAAAGCGGCGCGGACGTCAAGCTTGGTGAACCATCGGGCAGTGGCGAGGTTGCGGAGGGTCTCTCGGATCAGCGGCAAAGGGTAACGGTCGTTCTTCGTAATGGCGTTGAGGCCGCGGTAATCGACGCAGAAGCGAAGACCGCCACTTGGTTTTCGTGCGAAGAGGACAGGCGCGCTGGCGGGTGAACTGCTGGCGCGGATCCAGCCCTTGTCAAGATGGTCAGTCAGAGTTTTCGTAGCACGAGGAGCTCGTCACGGACATCTCGTAGAGTGGTCCGAACGGTGGGCGTTTATCACGACCATCGTCGTCTTTCTCGAGGTTGATGGCATGATCCCAGATATCTCTGTGCGGTGGTGTGATATCGACGTCGTCGTCGTCAGGAAATCGCCAGCTACATCTTTGATCTCTTGTGGGATTCGGCCGTCTTGCTGGAGTTGTTCAAGGGTCGGTTTCGCTTTCTTCTCGCTGAGCTTGGCGAGAGCTTTGTTGATGTCGGCGATGGTAACTGAGAAAGGTGGGCGTCTTTCTTGAGGCGGCGCATGCGCTTCGTTGTCGCCATGAAGACGCTGGCGGAAACGAGTCTCGCGTCACGCAGGTCTTTGGTACGATCGATGACCTGTTGCTTGTCCATCCAGCCACTCACGAACCTTCACGCGACTGTTGCCGCGGCCGATTTGCAAGCGCTTTCCAGCTTTGTATACGACGTCATTTCGTTCCGCCCAACCCTTTCCAAGGATTAGATCGAATTCAAGGCCTGGGATCACATAGCCGTAGAGACGCTCTGCGCGGCCGTCGATATCCATGGTGATAAAAGCCATGTCGGTGATGGCGTGTTGTATTTCGTCTTGCTTGGCGAGTTTGAGAAGGCGCTTCTCGACTGGGATACGTGGGATGTGGTGTTTTCTGACAAATTCCTCACTGAAAGCTGCATATGGGAGACACCGGAGTCGAAGAAAGCTTTGATATACGAGGTGTTGTTGATAAGCACATCGAACAAGAACGGCGTGTTGTCTAGCCGTCCTTTTGCTAACTTTATATCCTTCTCCGTAGGCCCTTTTGTGAGGTCTTCACCGAAAACATCCTTTTCATCACGCCCCTGAGCACGATTTTTCTCAGGGGCTACTCGTTTTCCGCCTTCGTGTTGACGCCGTTGACACCGGCAGGGGCGTTGGGTGGAAAGCTCTTGTATTCACATTCTCTGAAGCGATGAGAGGAGTCTTGCCACAGCGAACACACTGGCGGTTCTCGGAACGGCGGTCACGCGTGGTTTGGTCGACCCACGGAGCCCGAGGGCGAGTCCTCGGTATACTTGCTGCGGCCCGAACCGTTGTTGTTGGACGAGGACCTGTTAGACCCATTTTGTTGTTGTCCAGCCAGTGCGGCCACTATAGTTTGAACAATAGAGACAAGGTCGGCGGAGGAGTTGGTCTTGATTTGGTTGACCTCGCTCATCATGGTGTCACCGTCTTGGTCAACTTGGGTCTGGGTGGCCGGGGTGCGGATAGGTGCTTGGGACGTGGGGCCGTTGGTGCGGTTGGCAGGGAGATCCACGGTGATGGAAGAGTCATACCATTCGACCTGGTTCTGAACGTTGGCGTTGGCTTGAAATCGGGGCAGTGCTTCTAACTGGGTGGCGAGAGCCTGGGCAATGGTGACAAAGCTGTTGTAATCGGTAGATGACACGCCCAACTGGAGGGCGAGGGCATCCCGGAGGTACGAAGAAAGTCCGCGGAGCAGAGTGTTGACTTTGGCGGCGCCGGTAGGGGCAAGGATGTCGGCGTCGGCGCAGTATGTCTCGAAGACATGGCGATACTGGGCAAACGGCTGGGCCACTCCTTGGCGGACCGCATACAGACGTCGGGCTGCGCGTTGGGTGGAGTCTTTGTCTTCGAACGACTCGTTAAGGTGCTTGAGGAGGTTGTCAGAATCCCAGGCGCCGTCCGTGTGGCGCAATTTCATCCAAGCCTTGGTCCGGTTGGCGCCATTCGGGGGTAACTCGGTGAAGATAGTGATGCAGATGGTACGCTCATCTCCGAGCTGATTCTTTGTGGAGGGTTGGCGGATGTTCATCAAGCCGAGGGAATAGATGTCGAATTCGGCGAGATTTCCGTTCCATTTCGGAAGCCGAACCTTGGGACGACTGGGGTCATAAGAGGTAGGTAGTACGGGCGGTGGGGCGGAGAAGGCTGTGCCGTCAGGGGTATTACTGGTTTGGGACATGATGTTGAGAAAGTTGCCGATAGTGGTGATAACGTCGGGGAGTGCGTGTCGGTCCGTGGAAGGCAGCGCAACTGTGGCGACTGGTGAAGACTGGCGGTGCAGGTGCGCCTGATTAGGCGTCACGGGTGGCGAGGAAGAAAGCGAGGCAGCCGAGCGGCAGAGAACTCGTGATCAGAGTCGTCCAGAAAAGTATCAAGGTTTCAGTAAAGTCAATGCCAGAAGTAACTGAAATTCAGGGCAATATGCGAGACGTCGCGGGTGCCGCTGGAAGGGGAAAAGGTGTTCAAAAGGAGGATAGATATCGCTCCATCGGAAGTGAAGAAGTCGATAATATGTTACGATCAAGGCCGATATGGATAACCAGAAGGGACTTGGAAGAATAGTTAATTATCGACTTCTTAAGGAAGAAGGGAAGAGGAAGAGGAACTGAAGAAAAGGAGGAAGCGGTCTATATACGTAACGGTATGTGGAAGTGGATACCGTAAGGTATGTGGAGGTGGATACCGTAACACTAGGTGAAACGTAATTGCCCATCGCGCCGCAATCCAATAGTGCGTGTACGTGATGTCCCGCGATTTGGATGTCCAATACCATTTGGTTGCCATGGCTTGCCGTTGCCATGCATAGGGTCCTTGGATCTTGTCGTGTCGTGCCAGTCTGTAGCCCTTTACAGATGGCGTACCTCGTTTTGCCTGGTCCTTATTCGTTTCATTTGGGTATTCTTCTTCGATTTGTTGTTGATATCGTTTCTTTATGTTTTCGTCGCGTGGTGTCGTGTCAGGGGCTCAAGAGACTGATTTCTTGTAGCCAATCGAAGATTTCTTGTTTCTCAACGCTGTGTTGTTTGCATTGTGCTGCTTCGCAGTTGATTGCGTACCGTGCTTCGCAATTCTGTTCGTTTTCGTACCAGGAATCGAGTTTTCGTTCTGCGTCTTTCTGTTTTGCGCGTAGTTCTTCTGCGTTAATTTTCCTTGGTCGAATGTAGCTTGTAGCCTTCGTAGGTGTCGCCAGTAGTCCTTGGTGCACCGTTGTGTCGTTTGTGCCATGCTCGTGCCTTTTCGTGTTCGTGAACTTTGCAGTTCGGGTGTGCACATTCGTTGTAATCTTCTTCGTCGCATCTGATTCGTTGCGCGAGTCTTGTGAAGATAGATGGTTCGGATGCCTTAGAGCGAGTGGCGTTGTGCCATTCCCAATTTTGGCGTGTTTGTGGATTTTGCATGTTTCCGAAAGACATCTCGTTAAAGAACCGTAATCATCGCGGCATTCAAGTGGCGTGCCGTAATCGGGTTCCAATAACATGACTTGGTCGTTCGGGTAACGTTGATCGATTTTCCAGTAGTCCAGTTCCGTGCTTAGGTAGGGTTTCGAAAGTATTTGTCCGTCGAATCTGACTGGGAAGGCGTCGTGTCGTGCCTTCATCTGAAGTGTATCATGCAGTCCAAATAGACGCATGAGATCCATGAAATATGTTTGTGCTCTTCGTGACTGAGCACTGTTCTTGGGTCATCTGAAAATTCTCCTCGTGGTTGCCATTCTCGTTGTAGGGCTGTAAAGGTGTCGACCGCGGCGATAGCCACAGCGTAGTCTCCTCCGCGTGGTGCCGGTTGGTATCGAATCAATGCAGCTTGTTGGTTTTCCGTGAGAATTTGAGGTATTTGTTGAGTTCCAATTTTGAGCATTTCTTCGAATTCTTCGAAGTATGGAGCGTGTTCTCCAATCGTGGCGTTTTCCTTAGTAGTGAGGGTGGTGGTGCGAGTTCATCCTCGTCTTCTGTTTCTTGTAGCGTGTCTTGTTCTTCAGAGCTTGTGTCGTCGAAACTTCGTTGTTCCTCTTCGGGTTGTTGTCCGAGTTTCGTGAGCATAAGGGCTGCGTCCGTATCTTCTTTGTTATGTTGTTTATAGACTGCCCGTCGTTGTTGTCGATCCTTATTTCGCATGTCTTCCTGGAATCGTTTGCCGTTCTTCCTGATCCAGTCTTGTGAGACTCCTTCAGGATAGGGGTATTCTGGTTCTGCGAATTTGACTTGTTTCTGTGTTGTGGGATCTCTTCGTTGCACCATTGCAAGGGTTTTCTTTGGTGGCTTTGGGAACCATCCGGTACCGTTTTGTCGCTTAGGTGTACCGTGCATTTGTCGTCGTAGCATGCAGTCCAACTAAGGAGTTCATGCTTTGGTTCCTGCTTGTTAGTAGCGTTCAGGTGTCTCTTACCTTCTGGGGCTGGGGCCCAGTGAACTTTCTTCTCCTTGCGAGGTTGCTTGCAATTTCGTGAGAAATGTCCAACTTTCCGCAGTTGAAGCATTTTCCTTCGCCCTTCTTTGTTGCATCCAGGTCCATTTTGCCTGGGTTAGTTGTGTGGGCGTAAGCAATGGAGTTTCGCGCTTCTTCTTGTAGTTGGCGCGTCGGTTAAAGTTGTTCCCATAGGAAGGGTTCCAGTTTCCTCTTCCTTGTTTCTTTCTTGGCGTCGCGCATACTGTCTGTCGTCGATTCGTACTGCCATAGCAATGTAGTCCGAGAGGTTGTCAGGTCGATTTTCCTTGTAGAGCTCGTCCTTGACTTCTTCTTTAAGCCCGTCGTAGAATCGTGACATAAGAGGTTCGTCGTCCCAATCAAGCTTTGAGGTGACTTGACGGAACTTCGCAGCATAATCCGATGCTGAGATCCTTTGTCGGAGTTCTCGAAGTTTCTGTTCGGCCTCTCGTTCCTCGTCGGTTGTTCCGAATACCTTCGTAATGGCTTCTTCGAATCCTTGGAAACTGGCAAAGACTTCGTCTGTCTCGTTGTCTCGTCGCGCTGGTTGGTTGTCGAGAAAGTCCTCATGATGGGTCCAAACCAGGCGAGTGCCGTTCCAGATAAACAATTTCCTGCGTGGAGTACCTTTCGACTGGGTCCGAGAGCTTGGTCGGATAGAATCGGTGGTAGGCTTTGAGTTGGGTGAGAAAGTCTCGAAGCGTGCCATGAGTACCGTCGAATGGTCCTGGCTGTTTTGGTTTGACTGCTTCTCCGATGTCCCTGACTTGTCCGTTGCCTCCTCCGTTCCTGAGCACTTGGACCTCCTGTCGAAGGCTGATGATTTCGCGCATCATGTCCTGCGGCGACACGGTGTGTCCCGAGTTGGTTGATCCAGTTTGCTGTGCAGGCATGTTGACAGTTATGCGATATTGCTCAGAGAGACGCGGTATCGTTCTGAACAAGAGCTTTCAACGTGTGACGACCGGTGATATTCCCAAGGGATAAACCTGTCGAGGGGTTTATGTTGGCAGATACAACAGGGCGTGGTCTGAGCAATGATAAGTATGTCACGTTGGTGATGAGTCGGAGGTCGTAGACCGTAGACTGTAACCAGGTAATCAAGTGATCGGAATCAGAGATGAGATCGTGATAGGGATCGTAATGATTGTGTTGAAAGCTAAAGAGCTATCTAGTCTAAAGGAGTGAAATGGGGCAGCTATATATACCCAACTGCCCGTCTCTGATCGCGAGGTGCTGGAGGTGATCACAGAGGTGATCACCTTGATCGATGAACGATCCGTCGAGCACCGCTCGCTTGATCGTAAGGCGATCCACCGATCACCTTTCGCATGGTCACGTGATCCTTCAGCGGTTAGTCATCCCTGGCCCGTGTCATGGCCATCCGTTGGTCGGGTCGTAACATCCGTTGGTCGGGTCGTAACAATTACGGAGTAGGTAGAGGCGTAGGCTTAGGTGCGGTCCGTTAAAAGAAGGTTAATAATCTATAAGGGGGAAAAGAAAGAGAAGTATAAGCCTAGCCTATATAGGCGCGGAGGCCGCTTATATATAGACTTAGCCTAGACCTTAGTCTAGGCCTATATAGGGCAAAAGCCCTTATAACTTTTAGTCTTTAAACTTATTAAAAGACGCGGTTATTAAATATATATTATTTATAGCGTACCTATTAAAGCGCGCGTTTTACTTTTACCTATATAGTATAATAGTCTTTATAATAAAACTAAGCGTTTATAACGAATCGCGTTAATAAGAAAACTATTTACGTAAGTACTAAGCTTTTTAATAATTTAAGCTAATTAATTAAACTAACTAAATAAATAGGAGACTCTTTAGTATATAGCTTAGGACTAATATCTATCGTTAGGTATTTTAGGTAATTTCTTAATAATAAATTTTAGCTAGGCCCTTAAAGATCTTAATAATATACGAGATTTATAGCTATATAAAGTAAGGTAATAGGAAGAAAAGGAGCTAGGTAATCCTTCTTAAACCTATATAGCTATAGTAAGAGACTAATAACTTTCCTTAATTTATTTTTAAGAGAATCCTTTTAAACTTTAAGAGGTATACTAAGGAGTATAAGAATATACTATATTAGTTTCTTTTAGGTCTATTACGATAAGAAGCCTTAGTATTATTTTAGATACTATTAATAGAAAGCTTTTTAGTTTAAGTTAGCTAGGTAGATATTTAAATCTATAGAAGGTATTTAAGACGTTTTTCCTAACCTATTACTACCTTAAAGAGTTAGCTTAAAAGTAAGGAAAGTAAAGAATTTTAGTATATTTTATTTATATACTATTATTTAAATTAGTATAAATATTACTATAAATACTATAATATTTCGTAATAAGTAGTAATAGTATAGTTACTACTTATATATAAATATATATTTTAATTATTTCCTTTTTTATATAAAAGTTAATAGACCTTTATTTTTCCTAGGTAATATATCCTTTTATAGGAAGGACTAAATAAATAAACTTCTATATAAGTAGAGCGTACTATATCTTACTAAAGAAATAATTACTTAATATTAAAAGTATATACCCTTAGGTAGAGATTAAAAAGGATATTAATTATACTTAGTAAAATAAAAGTAGATACTTAAGGGTAAGAATAGAATTCTAGCTATATTCTAAATAGTTCTTTTATCTTACTACCTCCCTTTTACCCTTTAAGCTAAATATATCTATCTTAAGAAAGGATTATAACTTAGTAGGTAGAGTTATTTATCTATAAACTACCTAGACG